ACAGAGAGGCAGTTTCTGTAAGCAACACCAGAATGTTTCCTTCCTGCCTTCCTTACAGGATTAGGCCTGTAATTTCTTCTAACAACCGGTTCTCCGAACTGCTTAGAATGTTAACAACCGGTTCTAGCGAATAGGTGCGAACTGGTAGAATCCCACCCCTGCTTGTGTGTCTAATCACACTTGGCCAATATTCTATTCTATTCTATTCTATTCTATTCTATTCTATTCTATTCTATTCTATTCTATTCTATTCTATTCTATTCTATTCCTATTCTATTCCATTCCATTCTATTCTTAAAAGGGGGTAGGGATTTGGTCATTTTAATTTTATTATCTCCCTTCCCATTTATGCCTATGAAGGTATTACAAGAAATTAATCATGCCTGTAATGAGTCGTTTCCCCCTTGGTATGTTTTGCACCAACCTGAAGCAGGAATCCTTTCATACTTGGAAATTGTGCTTCTTTTCTCCCTCCCTCCCTCCACTTTATTTTTTTTCAGCCTGTAAGACAAGGGGAAACAATGGTGACATATCTCATCTCTGGAAGGCAGGAGGCTTCAAAGATAGTTTTTTTTAAAAAAAGGACAGTAAAACAGGAGCATCAGGAATTTAAAATTCTCCATTTACTGCTTATTTTCACCATGATTTACTGCTTAACTTCACCTCAAGGACTGAAAACCCTGGCTGCCAAGAAAGGTGTGTGTGTGTGTGTGTGTGTGTGTGTGTGTGAGAGAGAGAGAGAGAGAGAGAGAGAGAGAGAGAGATGTTTAAATAGCTCTTCTCACATTAAAGACAATCTTGATCTATCAATGTTAAGAGTGCCCACATCAATTCCTTGCTGCTGCTTGCTGCTTGCTGCTTGCTGCAGGTCATGGTTTATATAGTCCCATCTTCATTATCTCAAAATATGAGACATACACACATATTTTCTTCTTCAAGGAGCTCTGAAAATAATACATTTGCAATTAGGAAGGAGAAGCTTAGGATTCTCTAAAGGGTTGTCCGCATTTCATCAGACCCTGGTTTCACAATTCTTTCCAGGAAGTCTTGAAAGTTGAAATGGTTTAAAATTGATGAGAATTTTTTACTTTAACATGGCTAAAAAGAATTAATACAAATGTGTTGAGTTCAGCCTTCCGAAGTCATGTAGACCAAAATCTCAAGAAACACACTCAAGAAACACACTCAATAGCCACCATAACCACAACGTGTATTTTCAGGACACACAAGTTGTCATAGATACGGTGAGAGGATGTGGCTGAGCTACATTGCTAAAACAGGAAATGTTAGTTAATAGGTAGGCAAAGACATTTTCCACTCAGGCCTTCTTTGACATTACAGATAATTTTGATCTGAACTTCATTGTTAAGAGTGCTCTTATAACTCTGCTTGCAAATCTTTTGTGAATCTACTGACTGGCTGGCTACATAGACACTTATGTTGGAGTTGAGGGGCTTGTCTTCCCCAGCTAAGGGTGTTAGGACTATAATGATTGTGTAACAATGACGGCAAACCCTTTGGGCTTGGTGTATCAAAAATTCAGAAAATGCCTAATTTGACTCTGCTCACATAGCACTCACTCTCTCTCTCTCTCACACACACACACCCAAAGATAAATAATTCTCTATCTCCCTACATCCAGGCAACCCTGAAAAGCCTCTGAAAACCATGCAAAAGTACATCCCATTCTTGCATGAATTTTGGAGGCTCTGTAGAAGAGCATATTCCCCTCATGCAACTTCCAGGCAGTCTGTAGGCCATGCAAGACCATACCCCATTCTCGTGCTACCTCTGCATGAGGCATGAGAAAATCATATGAAAATGGGGCATCTTTCAAAAATAGTTATAGGGTGTTGGTAAAGGCTTAACGTCATAGCATGTTCCCTTTGACATGTGTAGCATAGGTTCGCCATTACTGGTGCACAGACTGTCATCTTGATACATAATAGCATTTAAACAGACTATAGTTCCAGTCAGAATGGATGACAATTAAGATTTTACTTTTACTTGATTCAGTTAATCAAATAGGCATGTAGGGCATCATTTACAGATACAATTACCATTATCCAGAGAGAGTATTCCAACTGCCTTGTATTACAAGGATAAAATATATGATAGCTGCAGGAGATATACATGGTTAAACTTGGCAAGTTTAAGACTTGTGGACTTCAACTCCCAGAATTCCTGAGCTAACATGACTGGAGGAGGAATTCTGGGAGTTGAAGTCCACGAGTCTTAAAGCTGTCAAGTTTGAAGAGCCCTGCACTACGCCAGTTCTAACCTGTAATGAATAATGAGAGGGTGCAAAAAAAAACCACCCTCCAAACATTTACCACCTCTACATATTTGACCTACTCCAATTATAACAAGTTACAATTATAAACCAATTATACAACAATGGTGCTCTTTGGTGGTTTAAAATTATTAATCAACAGGAAAGGAGGAAAATGGGTCCTTTAAGTATATTTTAAAGAGATGTGTTATCACACTGATGAGTAATCATATACATTTAAAGTTTTTGAGAATGTAGGAGCAACAGTATGACTACCTAATTTGGATAACAGTTCACTCATTTTTAGGATTCCTGGAGAGAATTTGTCCCTATCCTGATATTAAGCCAATTTTAGAGTTTTATTGCAATTCTGTTTCAAGATGACAGGGAACCTTGCCACCAGTTTTTGGCAATTGTGATTAAAAAATGTCCAAGTTCTACAAGAGGGGAGATTGGATGCATGCAACTCTTGAATACCAGTGTATCCATCCTTGAAATGCTGCCACTAAAGTTGCTATGTTTCACTTCTCATCTTGGGACTCTCCCAAGAAGGTTCCACAGCCATTGGAAAGTACAGATTTTATCTGTACCATTGAGAGTAAGATAAACCCCCCAAGTAGCCTCAATGACTCTCAGAGACCTAATGACTGACATTCAGAATGCTAGCAACCAGCTAAGGAATATCACTGCACTTAAGTTAGTAACATTAAGCGAATCTGGCTTTCCCATTGATTTCGCTTGTCAAGAAGGTTGCAAAAAGTGATCGCATGATCTTGGGACACAGCAACGGTCATAAGTATGAACCACTTGCCAAGCATCTGAATTTTGATCACATGATCATGGGGATGCCTCAAAGTCGTAAGTGTGAAAAATGGTCAAGTCACTTTTTTCAGTGCTGTTGTAATTTGAACAGTCACTAAATGTTGTAAGTCGAGGACCACCTGTATTGCCTATTTTCCTTGGGAGAAAAATTAGTTCCTATCATCCTCATCCAGCAAATCACATCTGAGTTACAAACAGGTCCCATGTGCTCCACTGATAAGAATGCAGGTGAACACCTTTATCTTATGTGTCTGGATCTCTGACTTGACTAAATGCCTCTTTTGGTGTGTATAAATTCACTTCAAGCCTCAAGTCTTTTTACACCAGCCTGCTCCAACCTGATACCTTCCAAATACATGAGGATTAAAGTTCACCCATCTAGTATGACCATAAAGCTAGCAAAAGGGAATAGATTCAGATCCACAAACTTGAAACTGGGATTGTAACCCGTGGCCTCTGTCAAAATAATACCAAATAACCACAATTTTGTGACATTTTTCCATTCTAGCCAGATTTTCCTAATTGAATATTTGAATTTAAATCTAAAATATCTGGCTTTTTCTTGGGGAATGTTACCCTAATCTATAGGCCTTTTCATTTTATAATAATTATATCCTTTAATACTAGCTCAGTTAAAAACAAAAAATAACAAAATAATTTTCACCTCTAATTTTAAATTGTTATTTTATTGGGGGCAGTCTCCTAAGACATTACCAGAAAATTACAAAGAGAATCAGATGTCACAACAGATTTTGTGAAATAAATATAGAGATAGTCACTTAGAACAGTGGTAGTCAACCTGGTCCCTACCGCCCACTAGTGGGCCTTCCAGCTTTCATGGTGGGCGGTAGGGGTTTTGTCCCCTGCTGTATAAATCACCATTACTGTGGAACTGGTGGGCGATTAGAGAAAATTTTACTACTAACAGAGATATAGCACAGTATTTAAATAAAATGATTCGGCTGAGAACTGCATATGTGGGATTGATTGGGGTAGATTGCAAGGGCGACTCCGAAATATAATGTTATTATATTTTATCTATATCTTAAATTATTGTACATTATTACAATTTTATTTTGGATTGTATTTTATTTTATTACTATTTCATCTTAAATCGTATTTTGTCTAGATTCCATTTTAAATGGTATTTTATCAAGTTCCATTTTAAATAGTATTTTATCAAATTTCATTTTGAATTGCTTTTATTAAATTTTAGTAACAAATTGTTGCTGGAACTTTGCACTTTGATATGGCCCAAGGGCTAATCAATAAAGACTTATTATTACTAACAGAGATACAAAAGTGGGCAGTAGGTATAAAAAGGTTGACTACCCCTGACTTAGAAGAATGGGCCAGAAGGTACTAGTTCAACACAGACTGCTTCCTCCAAAAGAGAAGTTGGGGGGAAAAAAGGCCTTCCCTGGAAGATATTAGTCTAAAATTACCGAATAACAGGGTAGAATAGGGATGGATAATTATTTATATACCTCCTTTTTGCCTTTGAAACTTGCCACATCTGAAGTAAATAATGTATCTTGGAAAATTACATTAAGCCAAGACATATTTATCGCCTTTCAGTTTTTCATCCCCATCTGCTAAGTACATTTCCTTCCAAAGTTCTATGGAAATGACACCTTATTTCTAATGATTAGAAATATTATTATTTTAAGTATCTATAGAGGCAGCCAGTCGGGTAAGAACAAAATAATCTGATATGTATGAAAATTATTTCTGCAAAGTGAAGCAGTCAGAAACAGAAAGAACTCAGAAAGGAGAATATGAAATTTTTCTACTAGCTTGAAAAGAGATTTCATCCACTTGTCTACACCAAAGCTCAATGCCCTTTTTCCCTTGAGGGTCATTCCTCACCCTTCCAGCCACCTGTGGAGCAGAAGTTGCCTCTTACCCATTCTGGAGGCTACTTCCTCCAATAAAGCCGTAGCGATCCGTCTTGCGGTAGGGAGCCATGCCATTCAGCTCAGAGTCGGAGCCCAGAGAGCTGGCATCATCACGCAAGTAGAAATCAAAGGCATCTGATAGTTCCGTCATAGCTTGGCTTATATTATCAGCTGACAGAGAAGGATCTGACATTTTTCCCTACCATTCAAATCCTTTGAATCAAGTGAAACTGCCAATTTTGTGATTTATCTCATGTTGACTGCAGGCCCTTGGCCCAGCGACTTCTGAAGAGAAGACTGCCTCTATGAACGTACCCCTACCGTTATGACTAGAGTTCCTCGCAGGTTCTGCAAGCTATTTCCTCTCAAAACCATTTCCTGATGTAATACACGGCACTATGAAATGAGTAAGGCAAAGGGGTGGAGAACAAGAAAAGATGGAAGGGCACAGAGGAAGGGAAGGGAGGCAATCAATAGTTCCCTTGCAAAGTAAAAAAAAAAAAAAAAAAGGTGCAAATACACTCCCAGGGGATGACACACACCCCGCTTCCATTCTCTCAGTCTCTTCCCTATAGGCAGAGTAAAACTAGGTGCTGGGCCACAGCCTACTTTCATTATAATGAAGGTGAATATACGTGTCCCAGGATAATGTTGCAGGATCCAATCTGAGTTGGTCACCCAGACCAGAGATATTGTCTTCCAAGTTTTCGGAGTTGTGCTAAAGCAGATCCTCAGGGAACTTCAGGCTAGAGAGGAATTCCCTGAAGATGGGCTCCAGCTTGAGTCCAAAAGTTCGGAAGACAAGCTTTTGGTGACCAACCCAGATTGGATCCTGCAACAATACTTATTACTGTGGTCACTTTTATTATCCCATCTGTTATGAATAATTATTTTTTTAATCTAGAGTCTACCTTCCGTCCCCAACGCCTAAAAGAAAAGACACAGTTCTCTCCAGGGCATTTTATCCCTACAGAGAAATAACTATTGGTTCAAAATTATGCAGTGACTTCATTGAGTAGTTATTTGAACTGGACCTTACCTCCTCCTAGGATGACATTAGGCCCATTACAACGTATTGTCCCTGTGGAATAATTTAGGCAGAGATAAAATGCTACCAGTATGACAGGCTGATTTCAATAGTCATCATATACATGAAAGTTCTCCAAAGATTACCCCATTTTCTTAGGTCCACTTGAGTTGCATTATTTGGAGTTGTCAAAATAAGTTTATGTGATTCCTAGATGTGCTGGAAAACACTCAGATTATCTATAAAATTTATAAATAAAAGATGCTAATTTATAGCCTCAATAAATTTGTGTCGTACTTTGAACTAGACTGACTCTCCAAATGTGCAAGCACAGTTCTAGCAGAGTACCCTGGAAGATGCTGGAATAGCTGCAAACTTTCTATGCTTAAACTCTTTTCGTTACAGATGCTGGTTGCTCAACACAATCTAGATCATAAATGACTACTCTTTGCTGTTGTTGGATAGTTGTCTCAAGAAGACACATTGTACTTCCTTGAAGACACAGGAATTACTGTGGGAATCATGATTGTTCTTTATTACTCACAAGATTTGGGTAGATGTGTGTTTCTGATTATGTAAGAATACGTCAACAAATCCAGTTTTGTTTTACATGTATACATTCTAAATAGCAGTAGATATTAACACACATCCAGACATGGATAATGATGGGTTCTTAAACTCAGCATACACAAAGGATGAAAAAGTCATGAGTCACTGGTGTATATATTTAAATGCAGATTTCACAAATTCCTAAACAACTGAAAGGTTGTTATAGGAATTTTATATAGGAATTTTCTCTCTGAATTCTTCAGTGACTTGTATACAAAGTAGTGTATTGGCAACTGTAATTGGCTCAACTGTACCTCTGCAGTTTGTTTGACTCATCCAAAGGTGTGGTACTGAAAGATTTAATCTGTTTTGAATTGGAAAGAACATAAATGTAGAAAAATGTAGCAGTAGAGATGTAAAACTGTGTTTTTACAACATACTCATACCACACAGAATCACGGTTTAGTGCAGGGTTGTCAAACTTGGTTTCATTGAGGGCCACATCAGGGTTGTGTTTGACCTTGGAGGGCCAGAGGGTCGTGGCCGGTGTGGGCGTGGCCATGCTGGGTGTGACCACGGTGGGAGTGACATAGTTCTCGTGTCGGGAGGCACCTGTGGTGGCCAAGTGCTAAGGCAGGACTTCCCTGAGACCCTCCCTCCCTCACTATTATAATCTTCTACCTTTCTTCTTCCTTCCCCTCTTTCTCATTTTTCCTTCCTTGTTCTCTTCCCTTCTTTTTCTTTGTCTTTCCACTTTCCCTTTCTCCTTTCCTGTCCCTTCTTGCATGCTCAAATGCAAAAGGGGAAACATTTCTCCTTTTGTTTTGTTTTTAGTTTGTTCTCCTGCCAGCAAAAACAGAGCTCAGGAGACCATGCACTCCGTTTTTGCTGGCAGAGGCACCACAGGCCGGTCCTTTGCTGTTTCCAGGCAGGCCGCGTGGGCCAGATCTAAGCACCCTGCGGGCCGCATCCAGCCCGCAGGCCTTGAGTTTGACACCCCTGGTTTAGTGAATTGATCTAATTGCCTGTCTTTTATAAGATGAACTATAAGCTAACCACTTGGACTGGATCTCCACACTAGGCACGAACTATTTGCTCCCATAGCCTTGGCTTAGTCTACTGCACAAAGTCAGGGGATATTGATGCCACTCTCCAACAGAGAGGGAAGAAGGGACAGCAAAGGGGCAAAGCATAGGGAGGCAAAGGATCTATGCTTGCTTGAGGCAGGGAGAAAGGCAGGCAGCAGAGAAGACGAAGTGCAGCAATAGTTTGGTCTGGAGAAGGCAAGGTAGGTCAGGCCTGGACTGGTGAGAGCATGTGACCTGCTGCATGAAGGTTTACCTAAAGAAATTGTGACCCAAGGCAAGATATTCCACAGGGTTGATATTCCTGATCCAAGAAAAGAAGAAGAAAGCTGCTTGCTGACCAGGACTCTGGTCTCTCTGGGAGCCAAGGCAGAAATGGCCATGGGGATAACAAGCCCAGTGGCTGAACTGAGAGTGGCCGTCTGTGCAACAGGGCAATTGGACCTGCTGGTTGCCGACTTGGACTGTTCCTTTCGAAGGGCTTGCTCTGTTTGGGAAGATGAAATACCACTTTCCTGGCAGACTGAGTTACTCTGACATCAGCCTTCTGCAGCAGCAGGCTGGCATAAAGATGGAGCTTCTGCTACCAAGCTAGCAGGCAAGAAGGCCACGAGGAAGAGCACTCGGAGAGGAATGAGGACTTAAGAGTTGGTTTTTAAATTCAGCTTCCATGGGATTTTGCATTGGATATCTTAAGACAAGTAGCCATTTTTCTACTCTGTTTTCTCTCTCTTTCAGACGCATATGATAGGTACCAGTTCACCCGGCTTCTTAGGGAAATGAATTAGCCAAAAGTACTTCGCATTTTCAAAGCGCTGCGGGTCCCCATATTTGTCCACCAGCTGCTTCTTCCGACTCTGCCGGGACCAGTGTGAAGTTCCCAGAAGCCTCTCGCCGCAACCATCTCCTCCTCCTCCTCCTCCCCCCTCCTTTTTCCTAGGATCGGCCAAAGCTCGCGCAATCGCAAGAGAAGCCTTGTGTTGATCCCTCCAGCCTGGAGGTGGTGGTGTCGGCAGCAGAGGCTGGAGCCCATTGGCTCTCACGGCTTCCTCTTCTGCGGGTTGCTTTCGGAGGAGGAGGAGACTCCTTGGCAAGAAATAGGAAAAGAAAGCCGGCCTTTCCTTTCCTTTTGCTTGCTTAGGACCACCGAGCGGGGCGGGAGGGGGGCGCGCCGAGGGGGAAGGAAGGAAGGAACCAGGCGATCCCAGCTTCTTAGGACGCCATGTCGGACGGCGAGAAGCTCAACTTAGATTCCATCATCGGGCGCCTGCTGGAAGGTAAGGGGCTGGGGCTGGGCCGGGCTTTGTGTGGCTGAAAGCGACTGGAGTGCCCGGGCGGCACAGAGTCCAGGGGAAGGGCGAGCGGCGGACCTTGCCCGCTTTCCGATCCCCCTCCCCGCTTCCCCTCCCGGCGCTGGAATGTCCCACGCCGCCCCCGCAGCGGCGCCTCTTTTCCAGACGGCAGGGCGCTCTCGACCGGCGCCAGGATTTCCAAGCAGCGGTTTTACTTCCCCGATCTGGGCCGGAGGAGAAAGGAACCGGATCGAGCTGTATTGCGCGATCTTGGCGCCTCGGCATTTTCTCCCACGCGTGTGGGATCGAAACGGCTGAGAAGCGCACTTTTCGTTTCCCTGTCGTGCTCGCAGATCGAGAGGCCTCTAGTGACGCGGGCGGAGCGGCATTTATCATCCCCTTCAGCCTGGCTTACGATCGGGGAACCGAGGTCGGTTCAGGATTAAAATCTTGCCTGGGTTGAGCTGCCCCCGCCCCGTCTGCGTCAGTTTTCCCACCGCGGCTCGCCTTTCGTAGCCACTCAAAGCGCCCCTTTTGCCAAGCCTCTCTCCCGATCTTCTTCTGGCTAAAAGAAAAGAGCCGGATGCCGGCGTCCGAAAAAGGCATTCTGCAGGGATGGAGGGAAAGCTTAGCGGAGGGTCGGGGCGGATGTGAGAGCCCTGCGCCTCGAGAAGGGTGTGCCGGCGATCGAGGGATTCCGCCAGCGCCGGCTGAGTGTTCTTGCAGATACGATCTTGAACATTACAGCGATCGAGCCGTACCAGTGTCCGGGGGCTCATCCTCTCCGTATGAAGGCGATGAGCCCCCTGACTCAGGCGGGGAGCGGAGTTTCCTCACGCTAACTGTGGAAACGAAAACCGGGGAGGCGGAATCGCCAGGCGATTACTTGCAGTTGTTTGGTTTGGCTCCTCTTGGGTGCAAATGGAGGGCGGGGTGAGGCGCAGGTGCCGGCCTACCCCTAGGGAAAGACCTTTTGGCGCTCAGCGAAAAGGGGAGAGATTTAGGCTTGCAGAGGCCCTGACTGAACAGGTTGTTCTGGCCTTGATAGGATCAGAAACTGAAGCTTTTTTAAGGAGGCTATCTTCCAAAACTGACCCATCCATCTATGAAAAGGCAGTTACCCTAATTCTTGGGGTCTCCACACCTAACAAGAAAGGAGGATACATCAATGTTGACTTAGAAGACCCTTTGCTATTTCAAAAGTAATTGCAGATCACCACAGCCCCAATCTAAGTGTTCACTTCGGTATCTGTCTTATATAATTCCGGAGATATGGAGTCCGGTTTTCTGCTAACCAACCTGCAGTGGGAGTTGGCTTTCCCAGATTATCCAATTGTGCCCTAGTTCCGATAAGCTTGGGATTTAATCATGCTGCATTTAACTTGGGAGGTGGGTTAAATCTGTAACCCGATGCAGGAATGGGTGGGTGGATTTTGAGAGAGAGATTGGCAGCAGAATAAGGCAGGATTTTAATATTAAATTTGCTCGAGCCCATGGATTATGGAGATTTAGGTTGATACAATGTTTTGATTTTGTTTTGCATTCAGAGCTGTTTATTTGCAACGTAGCAGTACAAAGAAGAAACCCTCGATCACAAACTCTGGCTCTGCTATAACTAGAAATTTGGAACACCATCGTCACATTGCAATTATTGTGTTAAGGAGCGCCAGTTTATGCTAAATGAAAGAGGACTGCTTGTGGGACAGTGCTGTCATCCCAGAGTGTTAGGTTTTTACCAGCACCGTTAACTGATCCACTTGCTTTAGAGCCTGGTTTTCATTTAAAAAAAAAACTACTCCCAAAGCAGAATAAACGTTATACTGAAGTAAATAATGCAGTTTTGAAGCTCTTTAAGACTTTGTTGACTGTGTGGCAGTTCCCCAGTGGGTGTCTCCTGAGGCAATAATGCCTTGGTAACCTGTGAGAAGCTAAGCTAATGCATGGTCCTTCAGGCACAGACTTGGCTAACGGATTCTGCCTTCCTCAGTTGCAGAAGGAAATAATGCTTTCCATGTGGGGACAAGATAGGATTTGGCTATTAACACCAGAACTTCCTAGAAACAAGAAGAGCCAGGAATATCTCCGGAAAGGTGAACCAGCATGAAGGTGAGTGATCGGGAATAAAGAGTATCAGCTTTTTTTTTTTATTCCCCCAGTGCAAGGATCACGTCCAGGCAAGAACGTTCAGCTCACAGAAAATGAGATTCGGGGCCTATGCCTGAAATCACGAGAGATCTTCCTGAGCCAGCCCATCTTGCTGGAACTAGAAGCCCCGCTCAAAATTTGTGGTAAGTGGGATGCCATTGCAGGTTTTTTCCCCCTTGTCTTTCTCTAGAGCTCTCTCAAAATGGTTGCCTCCGTAGGTCAGCCATAAAACACCTATTGAGCGGAAGATTCTGTACTGGCACTTTCAGAATGAGCTGAAGCTGGTCTTTTTGTCTGGTCAGATTGATTTTCTTATCTTTTAGACAAAGCACTGAGCTGCATCACACTGTTATTTTAATTTTCCAAGCATGGGAACCAAGATACTAGAGGGCAATGCCTTGGGTTGCGTTGTATCGTCTTCCCATTTAATCAAATTTTAAAGTAGGGCAAGAAATCTGGCAGACATTAAAGATGATGTCTACAAGCACATTGATGCCTATGAATGCCAGGTGTCTGGTTCTGGGATAGTCATTTCCCACCCTTGCCATTGTCACTTAGGAAGAAGACAGCATATATATAAATGCAATGTGTAAATTGTTGATCAGTTTTTCATTTCTCTTTTTCTTTCTTCTACCATCTCCCAGGTGATATCCATGGGCAATACTATGACTTGCTCCGGCTTTTTGAATATGGGGGTTTCCCCCCAGAGAGCAATTACCTCTTTCTGGGTGACTATGTGGACCGGGGGAAGCAGTCATTAGAGACAATCTGTCTGCTGTTGGCCTACAAAATTAAATACCCTGAGAATTTCTTCCTTTTGCGTGGCAATCATGAGTGTGCGAGCATCAACCGTATCTATGGCTTCTATGATGAATGTGAGTGCATCATACCAATAGACTTACAGAGTGGGAAATGAAGCCATATCGTGGTCAAGTACATGTAGATAATGAGGGTAGCGGTTTGGGAAATGGGGTGTGGCATAATGTGCTTATGCTGCATGAGTCCTTCTTTCTCTCCAACCCATTCAACAAATCTTGCAGGAATGTGGCTATTCAGAACTATTCAGCTTTTTTTTCCCCAACTAATTTTTGCTCCTTTCCTGCTTTCCACAGGTAAACGGCGGTATAACATAAAATTATGGAAGACCTTCACTGATTGCTTCAACTGCCTACCTATTGCTGCCATCGTTGATGAGAAAATATTCTGTTGTCATGGAGGTAGGCTAATCTATAATGTTGGTGAGGAAGCTGATCGTACTATTGATGCCACCAATGCAGCAGGCAAAAGATTTGACGTAATGCAGAATTTCTCCAGATGGTTCGCAATCTGTGTCAACAGGAAAAGAAGTCAAGTAATAGGCAGTGTCAATAGCACAGTGGGGAATTTGGTGTCCTTTGCATATTGTGTAGGCGTGTTTCCTTTGGGAGGTGGAACAAAGCCTGGGAAAAAGTGAAAGATCATATTCCTATAAAGGAAGCATCTTTCATGCAGCATTTTAGATGAAAAATTTATTCAGGCTAATTTTTTTTTATAAAACAAAGTTTTTATTTTTTACAACAAACATACGAACAAAACATAAAGATAAAACCGTCTTTCAATTATATACATACAGTGTGTCAGTTGGTTACAATCTTTTGTGCTATCCTTTTTTTACCATTACTCACAAGTTATAGAAATTCTCACCTTATCGATCTAGCTTGTGCTTATATGATATCAATTATTAAACATTCATTTGACTATTTTTCCATCATTTTATATGAGATATTCTTATTTTCATTATGATTTAATCTTATACATTCATCCAATGGTTATATATTTTATATTGTATTCTATATCAATCTATTAATTTTTATTGTAAGGCTTAGTAGTCTATTTCTTTACCATGTCTTTTTATCTAACCATTGATATCATATAAAATCGTTTATCCTCTTGTTCTCTAATTTCAAATGTCAGGTTAATTTTGATACCAGCATTGGGGGATAAGAATTGGCTTAAAGGATTGAGTATGGAAAGCCTGGTCAGATGTATTTTTTCAGTTGATATCCCTAACAAGAGTATGTTGTAAAATAGTGGTTCCTGGTACATTACCTCTAGCGAGAGCCACATGTTGAAATAATCTGCTTTATAAATGCAACTTCTGTATTCCAGGACTCTCTCCTGACCTCCAATCTATGGAACAGATTCGGCGGATCATGAGGCCCACAGATGTGCCTGACCAGGGTCTGCTTTGTGACTTACTCTGGTCGGACCCTGACAAGGATGTGCAGGGCTGGGGTGAAAATGACCGTGGGGTCTCCTTTACGTTTGGTTCAGAAGTGGTCGCCAAATTTCTTCACAAGCATGACCTTGACTTGATCTGCAGAGCGCATCAGGTCAGAGCGTAAAGCAAGTAGAAAGGGTACACCTGGCTGGAGGGGGGAGGAAAGGGTCTCAGTGAACTGGGAAATTACGTAGTTTTAAATAGAGAAGGTAGAAGTGGTGGGAAACATAGCTGAAAAAGCTGTCCATGAAATAAAGGAGGCTCGAAGCATATTATTGGCAAGGGGACATTGAACTGGGTTGAGCACGGGCATATATTTGATTGATGGACTCTCCCATCCCGGTTAGGTGGTAGAAGATGGATATGAATTTTTTGCCAAGCGGCAGCTGGTGACCCTCTTTTCTGCTCCGAACTACTGTGGCGAGTTTGACAATGCAGGCGCAATGATGAGCGTTGATGAGACCCTCATGTGCTCCTTCCAGGTAAGGACTTTTGAAGATGCTACTTTTGCAGCTGTTATCCTTTTGCACACACGGCAAGCAATAAAAGGGTGTGCTATTTTTGTTGCAATGCGAGAACTGGAGGATTCTTGAATACAATGTTTAACCGTCAGTTGTATTTTAAAGGGATTTTTGTATACATTTAAATTTCTCCTACTGTAGCAAGATTGTGTCTCTGGTTTATAGTAAAAACTGGGATACTGGGGAAACCAAGTTTTTGCTTTGCATTTATCTCACCTGCAGTGCCACATCAGTGTGGATGGCCACTGCATGGATGGAAATTCAAAAGCTACAGAAATTAGAATGATTGTGGGGTGGGCTTTTTTTTTTTAACTAATCAATGGCAAAGTCATAAGGTGGTTTTAGAATTGTAGCTTAAATACTTTGTCAGGTTGAATATGCATGTGCGTGCATGTTATTAGTGATCTTAAATGATAGGGAAATGTGATAAAGGGCCTCAGAAGTTCTTTGCCAAAAGCAATTCCCATATATAAAAGGAATTGGGATGTTATTCCTTTTTTTTTCTTTTGCATTTATGTTAGTCCTTTTTAATATGGCACATGAAGCAGATACAAATTTAGTCCCATAGTTTTCAAAAATGAGGAAAATAGTTGAATGTAGTGGGGGTTTTGTGTGCTCTACTATACCATTTATATAATTTCAGAAACAGAATGTACAGGCCCAATGGGACTTTGTAGCTTAAAGACCATGAAAAGAGAGAAAAGTATTTTTCCAGCAGGGATCAAGGACAGGAAAAAAAAAGCTGTTAATTCCCACCTCTCCTCTTAACTTTTTTCTTCTTTTCTGTAGATCTTGAAACCGGCAGACAAGAACAAGGGCAAATACGGTCAGTTCAGTGGCTTAAATCCTGGTGGACGCCCAGTCACCCCACCACGCAACTCAGCCAAAGCCAAGAAGTAACGTGTCCTGCCTGCCCTCCGTCAGCAGACAAGGGGGCTGGGCTGTCTTGCATAGCGGTTACACTGTACAGCGGCTGCTTACCTAGGATGCTAGGATCCAGCCATTTTTTTTAAAGAAGAAAAAAATATCTGAATGAGATTGAGTACCAAAAAAAAAAAAAAAAAATATCTCATTCTCTAGGAAGGGAATGTCATTATTTTTGGGGGTATTTTTGATCGACTTTTTTGCCAACTGTGTCCTGATGTGTGCACCTCTTTCTCCCCTGGGGTTACCACATCATTTTTTTGAATAAACATGTAATATTCTTAATGTAGTTGCTTCTCTTTATAGTTTTGGGAAAATAAAATGAAATGGGCTGGGAGAAAAATGCTTCTTGCTTTCGGACAAAATAATTCCCCCACCCCCACCCCTTCCTCCTTTAAAGCACCGAGTTTCAGGGGGATAGTGCTTGTCCTGTACAATTAGATGTATATTCTGAATAGGCTAATTTGGGAAAACGTACAGACAACTGAACAAGTTGTAGCAATGAAGTCAGACTCTGGCTGTAGCAACAGCTCTGGCCTTGGACTCGATCACTTATGGGAGAAATAAAAAAATCAGGCTTCCTCTTAGAATGGCAGGGAATCCAATCAGATTCAAGTTATCTCACGTTTGATTGGCTGAGGCCTGCTCTGAGGAAGCATGTGGTAAACTCTGGACTGTATTCCCTGTTATGGCCTCTCTTGAGGTAACCCTTTGATTGGAACTGTTGCTTCAATCATTTCACTGCCTAAAAGAAAATCAGAGCGGGTTGTTTCCCCCCAATGCACCTGCTCTTTAGAAGCACCGTGCAAGACCTTTAATTAAGGGCGGTTTTCACTTTTAACTTCAAAGCTGGATTGAGCTAGAGAAAGCACCAAGAAGTAACAAGGGATCAGGCCCAGTCTTTTGCCACCTTCCATATTTACTGAGTAAGGGCAGCTTTAGAAGCCGCCTAGGTTTTTTCTTCTCTTATTTCATTTTTCATTCCCAGATATCTTCCAACTAATGAGAGCTTTGGCAGTAAAACCTGTTAATTACAGGGAACGAGAGGAAAGCTGCCTCCAAACAGTGGAAGGTTCTAAAAGGAAACTTACAAGCTTGGTCTGTATTACAGCAGCAATATGCCTTGGCATCAAACACCGAGAAGTATATCTTTTTTAATAAAACGAATGTATTGGAGCTCTACATTAGTTGCAAACCTGAAGCAGGAAACGTCTCCTACATTTCTGCTTTTCCAAAAAAAAAAAAGAGCGAGCTGATGGTTGTTATAATTCTACACTGGAAATAATAGTTCCATGACACCCTGTTCATTTCATTAAAAAAAATGCAAAGATCTATCTCTGGCCAAAGTATTTTGCTGGGGCAGGTTGGATTAAAATCCTAGCCTGACAAAGACTCTGGGATTTAGAGGTGTGTTGCACGCAGCACAGCAATCCAGATGAGCTCACGAATCTCCCTCACTGTCCTCTGCTAGTACGTCCTGGCTGGCAAAGGAACGAGTTCTGGACTGGGACTCACTCAAAATTGATCCAAAGAATAAGGAACGAAACTGCAAAAGAAAATAACAGGGAGAAAGAAAGCTGAAAAGGTGCAAGCGTTCTTGAAACTTTCCCCATCACAAATTGATTTAACAGGAACAAATTTAAAAACACAAAAACAATCTTTATAAATGTAGAAGAAAAGATGATACAGATGATATTCAGAATAAAGTTTACTATACCTAGGGGCTGACTGTTTGCCTCCTTTCCCTGTTCCTCCCAACTGTTCCAAAGCTGCTCCCAAATGTACTTTTCACCACACCTCTCTCTACCACACCACCCTTTTCAAGTGACTTTAAAAACCAACAACCTGATTTTGCAATAGAATGATTATTAACAAAGCCTGGCTGCGGCCATTAAAAGTCAGTAAATAATGGCTCAGCTCCAACTGAAGTTAGTCATAAACCCAGGACCAACTGTGAGGGATGGATAGGATTGTAAGTATTTAAGTTGGTACACAGACCACAGTAAAGTACTGTCAACTTTCCCACATTATTGAATGACTTATTAGTCATTCTATGCATATGTAAACCTAGACCATGTTTTACAAACCGCAATGGCTGGATGTAGAGAATATATAAGTGCCAGGGAGTTATGGTAGGCAGTGCCAGGTGGTACAGAGGTCATAGGCACTTTGTCCAGGTGTCAAATGGATCCTGCTATTCTGCTTTCAATAACAGTTGATTGTTACTGTTATTGAAAGCAAGAGAATAGCAAGATCCTCTTAACACACCAGTCCAAAGTGCCTATGACCTTTCCATTCGTGATCACGTGGGACTGATCTTTTCCCCAAGAAATTATCCTTTGAAATCTCCACTCCACCCACTTCAGTGGCACCACCCCAGACACTGCCCCAATATGACTTCTAGAATCCTCTGTTTCTGAAGTAAGTGATATGTCACACACACACACTACAGTAGTCACAGTACACACCAAAGGAGCAGGGTGGGTAGATGCCAGTAAGTACTGCAATGGTCACACCTTCCTATGCTGAAAAGCACTATCTATGCTCCTGCTTCTCCCATCCTTTAATGTGGATGGTCAGGAGATTCTCCAGGCCAACGTCTGACACCCTCCACCATGTTTTCATGCACTGAGCAGTAACACGCTTGCTCCACCTACCTTCTTTTGCGGCGGTGTGCCAAGGACAGTATCCTCATTTTCACTGTCCGATTCCTTGGTTTCAGAGCTGGGATGCCTTGTGGCGAAAGCAGAGCTGGGAGAGGGTTCCGTTTCATCACATGTGGCTTCCATGGCTATCATGTAGGCATCAATGTCATCGTTGGTAAAGTCACCAGCTGGGGCAACTGGTTTGTGAGTGCTGGAAGAGGCAAACGGGGTAGGCTTATTAGCTACAGAGCCCTAGTTGCCTTTCTTAGAGAAGGTGTCCCGTTAATCCTAGGGAAAGCCTTCCTTGGGGACACCTGCTTAAATTCTTATCCCACCAATTAAGTCCTCATCCCAAACCTCAAGGGTTTGACACAGCCGGATGAATAGCAGGAAATAACTCATGTAAAGCTGAAATATTAAACAGTTCCCAAAGTTACTAAATAGCCATGGATATCCTTTACGATGGTCCACCAAGCCTGGGGAATGACAAAACACCTCAGCCAAAAGGGCAACAAAACTGCCCATTTCAAAGTGACACCCCCTTCCTGTATGCCAGGGAGAGATGGAGGTCCTGTTAAATACTTTGTTCTTTTCCAGCAACTTGTTTTCTCTCTGTGCCAAGCAGGCTTAGTGCAAGAGGTAGAATATTTCTCACCTGGCTGGCAGATGGCTTTCTGATTCGGAAAGCGTGGCCAGGACCAGTTGTAGCTCCAGCACAGGATCCTCCACAGTAAAGATAACTGGCCTGGGAAGATAAATATGGCAAGGGTGGCCATGCATATTTCAACCGGACGGGAATAATTTAAAAAAAGCAACAAGAATGGAAGCATGTCCAAGCTGACCAGAGCCACTGATGTCTCTGGTGAAGTAGAACAGAAAATACATTCACGGATGCTTACAAAGACTGCCTTTTTTAAAAAGAGTATAAGCAGGATGCATACATCAAATTAGGGTTTGTGAGAAGCCTCTTTGGAGATACTCAAAGCAATACTGTGAAACAATACGGATACCGCCCAGCGAGTGTTAGCCAATACTGTACTTTAAAATGGCCTGGCGCCACTGCAGAAGTCTTTATTTGATCATTAAGCTTCTTAAGCCAGCTGCTTAAGCCCTCCTACCTGCCAGGTATGTCAAAGTGGATATCAAGGGAAAGATTTGAGGACTCAGCAAAACTCAAGAAACCCTAAAAATGGGAAAGGAGGAGGAGGAAAAAAAAAAAGGTGATGAAGCAGACTGGGAAGAACAAACTCAACCCCATCCCAAAGAAGGCAGGGAACAAACTCAACCCCATCCCAAAGAAAGCAGGCTCACCCGGAATTCCTTAAGGCAGAAAGTGACTTGTATTTCTTGCTTGACGTGGAAGGCCTGGAACTCATCCTCACTCAGGCACATTTCCGTCACCATCATCCGACTTGGCTCTGTCACACAGAGATGGATCAGAAAACATCTCTTCAGATAGCCACTTCTCTCCATTCCATACAACTTTCCATGAGGAAGCACATAAGAGATAGTTGCGGACTGCTGAAGAGAATCAGGGATTTACAGCCACACTGCTAAGGTGCCCTCAGGCTGGAACTTGCTAGCCACAGCTTAGTTTGTTAAGGGAGGCTAAGTAAGGAAGCCTTGTCTTGTCGGGTTTGGGGGATGAATTGGAAGCAAGGCCTAGTGGGCAGCTCACCTGTCTCTTCTTCTAGGTAACTACGGAGAGTCACCTTGCCATTAGGGCTGGCACCCAGAGTCACCTCAGCCAGGTTAAGTGGGAAATGAACCACAGCATCTGCTAATAGCCTGAATTGGATGGAGAGAGGAAGGAAAGAGGCTGAGTAGAAACATGGAAAACTTCGTAGCAATTCCCTTCTGTACTTAGTCCTTATTGTTTTAATAATATAATTGGGACAACAGCATTGGCTTGCAGAAAGCGCTTCCTCTCACAGTTTGTTCACACAACATATTCTTATATGTAATATATCAATGTGGGGGAGGGAAAGGGAATCTATTATCAGATTCCCCCTGTACTAAAATCTCTCTCAGTCAACAACATGATCGCACCTGGGAGAAGCAGAGTTGCCTTATTGGTGAGAGGGGTGGCATATAAATTTAATAAATAAATTAAAATAAAGAATCCTCAAAACACCCTCCCATCCATTTCAACATTTGTAAATTATGCCATGCTGACATATTGCCTGCTGTACTGATAAGTGGGCCTCTGGATGGTGGAATTCACTCTGCAAAGGATGCATACAACACATGAATGTGCAGGACTATCAGTGCCATTCCTATAGATGCATCTGTAAACCATAATAGCCTCCCATCCCCCTGCACTAAAATCTCTCAGTCAACAACATGATCGCACCTGGGAGAAGCACGCAGTAAATGGGCATATTGTGTTTTGTCATAGACAGCCTGTAACAATTCACATTCCTGGAATGACAAATCGTGAGTCTTGACAACCCCTGCAATGAATAGAGAGAAGGGAGAGTGAGTGGGAGAACACAAATTTATTACACTAAGACATCCTTTGAACACTGATTTGTTGAAATGCCGTAATTCACTAGACCCTATATAAGATGAAACCAAACAAACCCCATTTCTTAAAGCCAATCTGATTGTCAGGGAAAATGGCCTAGGCCCATATCGCTCACAGGGTCCTGAGCCTAATGCTGCTGGAGATGTGAAAAATTTGTGGGAAAAGCAGCATTTATCCCTTTCAAGGACAAAAGGAAAAAAAGGTGACATTGATATGGGGGGGGGGGGGGGGTAAAAGCTTTTGATGAAATATGTGGTTATTAAAAAGTGAATCACTTTTCCATGCATTCATTAAAGAGAGCACTGTTAAGACAGTTCATGCTTCTTCTAGGTTAAATTCAATCGACAAGCCAGCCATTCCCAACGTTACGCACATCACAAAAGTTAAAATCTCCTTTGATCTGAGCTCGATTCACTTTGATGAGTTCGTAGACATGACCAAACAGGTTTCTTAGCATTAGTAGATAAATTAGTTTACTACTGACACCTGCAATTTTTCAATGTCTCCCATCTAGCTTATAGCCCAGGCATTCTGTGATAATTTCCCATTCATGATGCTGCTTAGCTTCCAAGTTCAGATTGTTACAGCTCTCTCTCTCTCTCTCTCACTCACACACACACACACACACACACACATGGAGTTCACAATAACTGTATCTGTGAGTATAACACACTTAGTCCCTTCTCAGATAGAGTGCAAGTAATAAATAATTTTCTCTGGTTCTAAACTTCAAGAATTTGCCGGCATATGAAAACATTCTGAACTCTTTATTCAACATTCAGGATCTTTGCAGCCCTTTATTACTTCAGTTAAAAAGTGATGCAGGCCTGTGGCTTTTAATATTGGTTTCCAATAGACTCTTTACTCTTGCCTGTACTTCTTTTCCCCCAATTCGTTTGAACCACTCTTGGATCTTGCTCTCTCACTTAGGTATGAATAGGCAGCAGGGTTCCTGGACCACAGGTCAAATGACCCCCTTTTTACTGTCTGAAGTTAAGTCTTTTCGTGTTCAAGGAGGGCTCTTTTCCAGGGCTCACCATATTTGCAATGCAGTTGAACGCGGAACCAGTTCTTCTTGGACGTCAGCGACATGAGACATTTCTCCACTGTCTTCTCCAGAGCAGGGATTGAGCGGAATACAGCTAGGAAAGACTGCAAGGCACGATTGGGTGAGACTGTTCTTAAAACAAAAGAAAGCCACAAAGAGGGCTGCATTCTGCATAACGCTTGAGTGTCAAATTAGGATGGGGGGAAAATTCAAGTTCAAACCCCAAGATTAAATTCAGTGTGCCACTCACAGGCCAGGTGGACTACATTGAGGCCAGTTATAGACCAAGCGGTTGGATCTGTATATGTCATTGACTTGAAAGGACCTCAAGAACCCAGAGGGGGAACATTTACTTCAGCTTTGAGGAAAGTTTGCACGCTCTCTGCAATGTTCAAGAGCATCTCACCTTCATGAGCACTTTGCATCGGAAAGCACCAGCATCTGAGTCTGATCCAGATTCCCCAGCCTGGTAGTGCTGGAAGAAGAGTGAGGTGAACAGGAAGCAGGCATAGGCAGAGCGAGATGTGTTTATTGCACGCAAAGACAACTGGAAAGATAAAACAGGAAATAACAGTTGGACAGGAAATAGCTCCCCATCTCTCCAGCCTTTAGCTTTCTCTCAGTTTCCAACACCTAGCAGCTAGGGGAGGGGCGCTTGGTCAGATCAGGTCCAGCATTCTATTATCCCACTCAGTGTCTATAGGTCTCCCACATGCAGACCATGGAGCATGGTTTCTCAACCTTGGCATCTCTTATTTCAGCTTCCACAAACTCCCAGGCAGCATGCTTACAGGAAATTCCCAGCCAAACTCCCAGGCAGCATGCT